ACACCCTCGCGGCGCTTGCGATCAAGCATCGCCCCTGGGCGCCAATGATCATCGTTGTGCTGCTGCGTATCTGCGCACCCACCTTGCGCCAGTGCACCACTGCGTCTTGTCCAGGTCCCATAGTCACTGCGAAAGGTTTAAAAGGGGCGCGTGTCCTCGTCGACGGCACAAGTAATTCTCCTCGCAAACGCAAGCGCTCGAGCAAACCGACTCTATAATCACTCGAGCCCACCAGACTCACCATCGTCGAGCTGGACTCTGACGCACTCATCGCAGCCCACACAGCAGTGCTTTTCGTGGTCATCGTCTGTAGCCTGGCGCTTAGTCACAAACTGCGATTCATCCTCGTCGGTCTAGGGAGACACGCACGCTCTCTCTCTCGCACCCCTGACAAGCTCGACGTCACTTTTTCTTACCAGCAGCACAACTTTTCCAGGTATCCATCGACCGACTAATCTTTAGGCTACTTGACCCCCTTCCCAACATGAAGAACGCCGCTCTTCTCTCCGCCATGGTGCTGGCCGCCGTGACCGTACGAGCCTTGCCCACCGCTACGCTAGCCGACCACCTGATCAAGGGTCGCTCTGTCGACAATGCCCAGTTGAGAGCAAGGGGTACCTCGACGCGCGAAGGAGAGCAGTCCTTCCTTCGAACTCGCAACAGCGCTAGTGCGCACCTGCCTGGCATGGACCACGTCGCTGACGAGGTGCAGCTGGCTCGAAGCCTCGTTCAAGAGGGCAGCGACTACGCCTCCCTTGGAATGGTGAACGGCAAAAGAGATGTCTCGCCAGCAACCGACGCTCTTGATGCGCGCAGAACGCCACCAGGGGTAAGCCACAATGGCTATCTGGGTCCCATCTTTAACGGCAAGAGGGAGCTCGCTGTCGACACCAAGACGAACGACGGCGACATTCTCGCACGCCGATCGACGTTGAACCCTAGAAAGCTCTGCTCACAGGACCCCGCGGTCGCGTGCGGTGGGGGTGGCTGGAACCTCGGTAGGGGCAGACGAGACCTTCAGCCAAATGCCCAACCTTTCGATGCTGATGTTCTCGCCACTCGTCAAAGCGATGACGCCGTGCTCAAGGCGCGCGAAATCGATTTCAGAGTAAAGCCCATCTTCACCCCAGAGGTCCCGCGGAAACCGCCCGCTAGCCACGATCCTCCCACCAAGAGGCACGTCTCGCCATCCACTGAGCGCCTTGAAGCTCGTCAAAAGCCTGTTTGGAAGCATCGCGGAGGCGCTGGTGGTCCAATCTTCAACGGCAGGAGCGACGCAACGTCTGACGAGACTATCGAGGCGCGCCAAGGAGATGGGAAGAACAAGCTTCGCTGGTCTGATCACCCCCAGCACATCGGCAAGCGTGATCTTGAGCCTACCCAATCTTTGGAGGTGCGTGGTACTGAGGAGATGGACCACCAGAATACGATTGTTACTCGATCGGGCAGCCTCGGCAGGCGCGAACCGATGCCCAGTCCAGTTCCTCAGCCCAAAAAGCAGCGAGGCAACAGCCAGCAGGCCAACGTCCAGAAGAATCACACAAAGGCGTCTCATGGCCAGACCCAAAAGGCAACTCGTAAGCCGAAGAAGACCAAGGTCGGTTACGTTTATCCCGCTTCCAAAGACCCTCTCGCCGCTTTCTAGTGCTCGAGACTGTAGAGGTGCCAACGTCGAAGCAGACCAGCTCCCACAGAGGCAAGCGTACGGTGTAGGGAAGGCTTCTGTCCACTCACGTCACGACGATCAGGTCAAGTCGAGCTCCATGACCAAGCTCGACCCTGCCCTGAAGCGAAGTATAAGTGACCCAAGAAGCTGCATAGTCGAATGCCATTTATTTTACATCTTCATCTAATCGTCGTCACCAGTCTCGAGGGTCTGATCGCTGATACATGCCAAACCACTTCTACATGTTTGGTAGACAGCATGCCATTGAGTACGGACTGACCGTCCTAGTCGTCGAAGGACATGCCCATCAGATCGGCCTTGATGATTGACATGACTGAAGCGACGAACGCTTCTAGATGGAAGCTGATGTGTCCACAACGAATATAACTCAGCCGCCATCCTCTGCCAAGGCTGTGCTACCGGCTACTCACATTGCCTTTGTGCCCTGCCTCGCTCGAATTTCCTGCATCGAATCATGCCAGCGAAGTGTCAAAGTGCGTTCCGACTACCCCAATCCGTCGAGGACGCGAGCACGTTTGGCCACTCACATAGAAGGCAGCCTTATCCACGATCAAAGGCCGCAAGCTCTCGTCCACCCGCCTAACCAACCTGTCCGTGATGGTCTTGATGATGAGTCTAGGTGGAATGGCATGCACCAGCAGCTCGTAGAGTTTTGCCCGAACGTCCAACAATCTCTGCGGGGATTGGTCCGAGAGGATAGCATCCGCAGTCGCAATCGCGTACGTCTCCCAATCCGGTTTGGCTATGCTTAATGAACCGCTAAAGTCGGGCGACTGCATGCGAAGAGCTTCTAGAACAAGAATGGCTTTCCGAACGTTTCCCCCGCTGTCGGCGAAGATTTGCTCGCAGGTCGAGTCTGGTAACCTGAACGACTCCTTCTTCGCCACGTGTTGCAGAACAGCAGTCATCTGTGTTGGCGTGTGCAGAGGGCGAGAGCATGGCGACATGCAGAATGTTAGCAGAGCAGCAGCAAGGCAGAGAGCATGTGCACAAGTGTGTTTCGCTCACTTCCGTCTGAGAAGGGGCGCCGACGCGCATGAGCAGACACCTGCTGCGAATGGGAGCAATGATGCGACTTGTGCTGGTGGAGCAGAGGATCAACCTCAAGTTGCCCATGTACTTTTCCATCGTTCGTCTAAGCGCCGACTGAGCATCTCGTGATAGCGAGTCAGCCTCGTTGATGATGACCACTGCAAAGGATGAAGAAGAAGATGAGAGCGAGCGTGGCATGAGTTGCGGGGTGGAGGTGTTGGCAATGCACACGTGGCGCAAACGGTTGACCCACCTTTGAAGCGATGACGAGCATTGGTGTCGACCTGCTGCGTCTGAGCGATTTCCTTGAGAATGTCTTGGATGACCAGCCTATCGTAGCCACCAGCATCGCTGTGTGAGGGGGTGCAGTGGAAGTCAAGCTTAGCTGAGCTGTGCGAGCAGAAGATGGATGCCAGCACACCAGCACACCAATGCGCACCTGGGAGTGAGCTCAATGTGATAGTTTGAGCTGACGACATTGACGTCGATCTTTCTCTTGCTCGGATTCAAGAATACCCTTTGGTCGATTTTGAGCTGGCGCGGGTGGCATGCGCAATGGTCAGTTGATATGTGCGCAGCGTGAGAGCAGGCAGGCCATGCTACTTCACCTTTTGGGTTGCTGGACCATACAATTCCCTCAACAGGCCCATGATCCTCGTCTTTTTGCCTGCGCCGCTCGGACCAAAGAAGAGCATGTGGGGCAAGTCCTCGTGCGATGCCTGTCAGTCATGGGTAGGTGCAGGTGCAGGTGCAGGAGCAGGAGCAGGTGAGCAGAGTTGGATGAAAGGCTGAATGGCCGCGGCCCACGCACCAAGGAGATGAGCCTGCGAGTGAGCGTGTGGTGGTAGTGCAGCTCAGACAGCTGTTTGGGTCTGTGCTTGTCCACGTACAGCATCTTGTGCAGGGGAGCACGGCAGTGGTGTGTGTGGATGTATGCGTAGAGCAAGAGTTGTGTGCGCAATGTGTGCGCAATGAGTGGACGATGGTGGACGATGGAGTCGTGAGGAGGGCAAGGGCAAGGGCAAGGGCAAGCTGATGGAGAGGGAGAAGGCGAGGTGAGGGTTGGTCAGACCCTCACCACTCAGACTCGTGACTTTGATCTTGACGATTCAGTCAAGTGATTCGCGCTTCTACACCGCGCATCGTGCGTGCATGCAGCTCACAGAAGCGCGACGCGTGACGCGCCCGCCGCGCGTGCAAGAGAGGTGGAGTGTGAGTGGAGATGCGTGCATGCATCCGCGCGTCTCGTGCACACGCTCAAGTCGTGAGTGTTGCTTCCTGCCCGCTCATCCTCAACACCACCACCATCATCATCATCGCGCGTGCAGGCCAGCATCCCATAGCCAACGCACTACCATCCGCTCACAATGTCCTCATCCGCCGCCGCCGCAGCATCCTCCTCTTCCTCCTCTTCAGCAGTCATCCCATCGCCAGACGTGCCAAGCACCGATGCTCACATTCAGCTCCTCACCGAACATCTCGGCTTCAATCCAAAGACGTTCATCGATGATCTCGTCTACACTTCCAACGAGCACTTGTACTTTATCGCAGAGCAATTTGAAAATCACGTCAAGCATTGTCTAAAGGGTCAAGAGGATGGCGATAGGCAGGCTGAACAGGTGAGTGCCTCCCGCTGCACTGCACTGCTTCAATGGCGACGCTCAGCTTCCGCCTTGCTCATCCCTCCTCTTCCATATCGCGCGCCCACACGCAGGGAGTACATGCGCTCTTGACCTTGCTCGAGAATGCCCTCGATGCCACCTTTGACACGCTGGAGCTGTACTGTCTCAGGCACGTGTTCGGCATCACCCCGCGTCAAGCAGCCCTCATCACCCTTCCCCACCATCGAGGTCTGGATCTGCGCCCAGCAGCCAGCAGGAGCAGGGATGGAGACAATGTTGATGCGAGTGCACCCCAATCCTCCAAAGCCAGAAGGAAAAGCAGCTCTTCCAAGCGCAACGAAGAGCACATTGGCCATGCAGCGACATCCGCTCGACAGGAGAGCGAACAGCTGGCAGAGCAGGAGAGATTGCTGAGGAGGAAAATCACCGCTGTGAGTCGTTCCGTCTGCGGTGCAGCGCGCCTTTGACTGAACGGCGCAAATCACATGCCTCGCACCTCTTTCTATCGCGCACACATCTTGCAGGCTAGAGCAGTCAAGCACTCACTGGTTTTGGCTACCGAAGCAGCGAAGCGCAAGCTACATCGAGCAGAGTCCGTGCTGTCAACATTCAGCGCGATCCTCAGCCAAGATCCAACCTCTTTCACCTCTGCGCCCATCATTCCTACGACTTTGCCTCAGGCTACGCGAAAGATGTTGACGGATACTTCGGAGCTCATCTCTTCGCTCGAAGCTCTACGAGCCGTGGACCCGTTGGGCGCTTCCTTATCCATCGAGGATAGGCCTGGCGGTAGTGGACCCACGTCGGCTTCATCCTCGGACAGGACGGGCGCGTCTGGGAGCGGGTCGACCAAAGAGAAAGCATGGAAAGGGGACAGGGACAAGTATGTGGCTTGGGAGGCCAATCAAATCATCGCAGGTGTCAAGGCCAAACAGCGAGAGAGGGAAAGGAGCATAGCGAGTGCTGCTGCTGCTTCTGCTGATGCAGCGGCGTCGACGGAAGGAGGACCATCTGCAGCTGGCAAAGGCGGCGAGAGAAAGTCTCAGGCGCCTGGCACGCCTAGAGGCAACAAGCGCGGCAATGCAGCTGCCGAAGGCACCGCTGTGTCTAAGCGCAAAAGCGCGAGGTGATGCGAGAGCAATGCCTGGCACTTTACGTGGCTGGCAAGGGAGAGCGAAGACACTTGGATGTCAGGCTTTCGCATCAATCAATCGCAAAAGAGGGTCACGATAGGATAGAGCGCGTCGTCTGCGTGTGTAGAGATGATCGCGGCCATTTTGCATAGCCCATGCCAATGCATGCACTTGAGCTGGCAACGTAACAACGTGGTCATGCCGCCAAGCTTCTCTGGCAGTGAGTGTATCAACACGAATTCGTTTTTGGTAAGAACGCTCAAAGGCGTGCATTCAGGAGTGCTGCGTCCCATCCGCGCGCAGTCTTCCCGAAAGGGTAAAGAGCCAGGAATGACTCGACATTCGCACATACTGCACTCGCGTGGCCAATCATCGTCGATGAAGACCCACGTCGAACGTCGAATTCCTTAGAATGTGCAGGCACATTCGAGCGGTGACGCTGTGTCCATTGCAGACCTTGATGTCCCATCATTCTCAACATTACCTCAGCTCTCGATTTTCTCCTCTTGAACCCAATCAACACCTGACCTTCTCACGCCTTTAGATCTTCCAGCCGCTCTGTTGTGTACTCTTCGCAACAAAGTCCACGCACCGAGGTCTCAGGTGGAGCCGCGTCAAAGCTTTATGGAGAGGAGGAAGGAGAGGGCAACTCGACAGCCTTTCATCGTACAGCAATGCACCAAGAATGCCTTTCGCCAAGCGTGACGACGGTCATCCTCGAAGCCTTCACCGGCTCCTTGGCCACCAAGCGAAGCGGCAACAAACGCATCCAGACCCTCAAAGCCCGCAAAGCGGAGTCGCAGCAAAGGTCCGCAGATATTTGTCAAACAGATCGTCAATGAGAGCGAGCGAGTCAAGGGGTAAGACGCTCGATGCTCGATGCTAGACGCTCGACGGCTCTGAGGCCACGCAGACGAGCTCAAGCGGCCTGCATTGAGACACCATGTGCATCCATTTCAAAGCGATATGAATTTCAACAAGTCAGCTCAGAGCTCTGTAGTGTACATAAAAGGGCAAATTTGCTGCAAGAGTATTTTGTGTTTACCCGGAAAGTCAACAAAGCGATGATAATGGGGACGCACACGACTGGTCAGATTGGTCTATTGTTGACCCTGTGCCTTTGAAAAGGGTGATGGGGGTGGGGGCAATGCAACAACAAGGAGCAAGATGTGGAGCATTTCCTCATTGTGCTTGTGGGCCCACTGGCCCTCAACAGCACGCATGGTGCATTGCATCACCAGTTCAATCCTTCAATCCCCTCCAGCAAGTACCAGGAGGCTGTCATTGCTCTGCTTGAAGCGGCCAGAGTCACAAATGGTTGCCCCCAACCCCCCAACCTGCTTGAGTTGAGGCAAGTGTTGAGACAATCATCCTCAATAACATTGCTGCCCTGCAGCAGCTTGTGCCAAAGATGAGGGCCCCCGTGCCAAGTACAGCAAGTCGTTGACATGGCCGCTCAATCACCCACATTCGCTCGCTGTTCGGACCCTACAAGTCAGAATGCTTTCAACGTT